GGAGGTGGTGAGGGATGAGGTTCTGAAACTACTTGATGTGGGGATCATTTTTTCAATCGTCAATAGTAAATGGGTTAGCCCCACACAAGTAATACCTAAGAAATCCGGACTTACGGTGATTGAGAATGACGAGAATGAGCTTATACCAACAAGATTGATCACCGGATGGAGGGTGTGTATTGATTACCAAAAGCTGAATGCTTGCACACGAAAAGATCACTTCCCATTGCCATTCCTCGATCAAGTTCTAGAATGAGTAGCGGGGCATCTATTCTGCTGCTTTTTAGATGGATACTCCAGCTACAATCAGATTGAGATTACTTTGGAGGATCAAGAGACGACCACCTTCACGTGCCTCTATGGTACCTTTGCCTACCGTCGCATGGCATTTGGACTATGCAATGCTCCGAGGATGTTTCAACGATGTATGATGGGGATTTTCAGTGACATGGTGGAAAAGATAGTGGAGGTCTTTATGGATGACTTTTCGGTGTTTGGGGATTCATTCGAGGGATGTTTGGCAAACTTGGAGAGAGTTCTAACGAGATGTGAGGAGAAGAATCTAGTCTTGAATTGGAAAAAGTGACACTTTATGGTGATGGAAGGAATTGTGCTTGGCCATATAGTTTCGGCAAGGAGTATTGAAGTCGATAAATCTAAGGTGGAGGTTATCTCCAACCTCCCCACTCCAGGAGCCATCAAGGGCATCCAGTCATTTTTTGGCCATGCAGGTTTTTATCATCGTTTCATAAAGAACTTCAGTGCATTAGCCCGACCCTTAACCAACCTGCTGTTTAAGGAGGTCCCATTTGAGTGGTCAAATGATTGTGAGGCATCCTTTAAAAAATTTAAAAGCATGTTAGTCACACCTCCGATCATACGACCACCCAATTGGGATCTACCGTTTGAGCTCATGTGTGATGTGAATGATTACGCGGTCGACCCAATGCTTGGTCAGAGGGAGGAAAATAGACCATATGTGATATACTATGCTAGAAAAATACTTAGTAAGACTCAGATGAATTGCACTACCACCAAGAAAGAGTTGCTAACAGTAGTGTTTGCCTTAGATAAATTTTGTTCTTACATCATCGGTTCGTCTATGTTGTTGTTTTTACTGATCACTCTGCTTTAAAGTACTTGTTGTCTAAGCAGGATGCAAAATCGAGACTCATTAGGTGGATACTCCTCCTACAAGAATTTGAATTGACGATCAAAAACAAGAAAGGAGTTGAGAACGTGGTCGCGGATTATTTATCCCGACTTGTGGTACAAGAGGTCGATGAGCACATTCCTATCCCTGACTTTTTCCCTAATGAGCATTTATTTTCAATTCATTCTGTATGTCCTTGGTATGCTGATATATGTAACCATCTTGCCACAGGACAGATACCACCGTAATAGAACCCAGAAGATCGAAGACAATTTATGGCGGATGTGAAGTACTTCTACTTCGACGACCCGTATTTGTTCAAATACTGCCCCGATCAAATCATGAGGAGATGCGTACCTGAAAATGAACAATGGGACGTCCTTGTAGTTTGCCATTCTCAAGCTTGCAGTGGACATTTTTCGACGAAATAGACTTCGGTCAAAATTCTTCAATCAGGTTTTTACTGGCCCTCTCTTATCAAAGATTATGTTTCATTTTGTAAGGGATGCGATAGATGCCAACGGTTGGGTAGTGTGACCCAAAGAAACATGATGCCCCTTTCTCCAATACTTGTCATCGAAATATTCAACTGTTGGGGCATCAACTTCATGGGTCCTTTTCCTATATCATTTGGTTATTTGTACATCCTCCTGGCAATGGACTATGTGTCCAAATGGTGGAGGCTATCCCGACCAAGACTAATAACCACCGAGTCATAGTCAAGTTTCTCAAAGAGAATATCTTTTTGAGGTTTTGAATGCCTCGTGCAATGATTAGTGATGGTAGATCACACTTTTGCAATAGGTCATTTGCATCTCTAATGTTCAAATATGGCGTCACTCACAAAGTATCCACTGCCTATCACCCACAAACAAATGGCCAAGTTGAGCTAACCAATAGGGAGATCAAGAACATTCTAGAAAAAATGGTCAACCTAAATAGGAAGGATTGGTCCGAAAGATTGACAGATGTCTTATGGGCATACCGCACTGCCTTTAAAACTATTTTGGGCATGTCTCCCTACCGCCTTGTCTATGGAAAGGCTTGCCACCTGCCAGTCGAAATGGAACACAAGGCCTATTGGGCCATTAAAACTTTAAATTTAAACTTGAGAATGACCGGTGAACATAGGAAGTTGAAAATGAATGAGTTGGAAGAGATTCGACGACATGCGTATGAGAGCTCCAAAATCTCAAAGCAACGGGCTAAGATCCTTCACAATAATTCCATTGTACGAAAATCATTTTGGCCCGGTCAAAAAGTGCTCTTATACAATTCTCGCCTCTCAATTTTTCAGGGAAAATTCTGATCTCGTTGGGATGGCCCTTATCTTGTCAAGGTGGCCTACCCCAACAGAGCTGTTGAGATCACCAACCCCGAAGATGGCCAAACATTCAAGGTCAATGACCAAATACTTAAGCCATTCTTTGAGGGTTTTGAAGGAAAAGAAGTGGCAGAAGAATTGATGGATCCCGTATATCCGAATTTGATGGAGGACTAGCTAGTGTTTATGATTTCTAGTGTACAGTTTCTTTCGTTGGTTGTATAGCATTGTTTTCTTAGTTTCAGATCCTAGTGCTTTTGTTGAAGCTCAATCGCGAGGTGTTCTCTAACCCTATTCATCTTTTTACTCTCCTTCATTGCATATTATATCTTTTTTTTTTTGCATTGAGGACAATGCATGATTCAAGTTAGGGGGTGAGGTGCACCATTTGCATGATACACCAAGGTTGTTAGTGAAAAATATGTGAAAATTTTTGATGAAAAATATCTAATTGTTGACCTGTATTCCTTTATGAAGAATGTGTGAGTTGAATGACATATTGATCGTTGTTGTGAACTTTGAGCACATGAGCATACTATGGAAATTGATCCTAGGCGTGAGTATCACATATGTATTGATTTTTGAACTCAAATATATGTGACTGTTGAATGTGTAATTTCAGTAATTTGCAGATTGGATTCATGTTTTAAGCTTGACATAAGTAGTGGAGATGAGTAAGGACCCATGAGAGTTTTAGTGCCAAACCTTTTTGGAAGGGAACTTACGTTTACTCAAAGAATGATTTTTAAATGTCAAATTTGTTCAATAGTCTCATTACACTTGTTTTGGTTAGGTGCATTTTGGATTGTAGGCTGACTCGCCTTGATTGTATAATCATTCCATAGGGACCTAGAAGTGATCTTAGGCCATCCTTGAATATTTTGAGCCTTTGCCCTTTTTTCTTGAGAAATTATTTATCCCTAGTGCCATGTTTGAGCCTTGTTGAAAATTTGTTTCTATGCCACACATTAAACCAAGCCAGAAAAAAAAAATATCTATCTCACCTTGGTTGTTCCTTGTGCTAAGTATGAATGATCATAAAAGAGAAGGAAATGTGGTGTGGAAATCCAAGCAAGGGATGAATGGAAGTGAAACTCAAAGATTTCAATGGAAAAAGAATGAAAATCTAAGAAAAAGAAGAAAATGGGTGAAAAGAAGAAAGAATGATCAAAGAAAAGAAAAATGTTACGGAAAAGAAAGAAAAGAAACAAAGAGTGAAGTGATGGTGTTAGCCTATAAATCCCATAAAAAGGGAGATCTTTTTGAAATAAAGGTCATTCACTCGGAACAACCATCTTTGTTATCAAATATCCGTCATTTTATTTACCTAGATACTACCCTAAGGCCCCATTATAACCCTTAAAAGTCCTAAGTGATCTAGGGAAGCATGGGAGGTGGATAGCTTTAAAGATAATGATGAGTTAGTTTTACTATCCAATGCCCTAGTATTCTTTTCATGAGATTATGCCAAAGTCGCTTCGTTTTCATATGTGAACTTCATTTTTGGATTACATATGAGCACACTTTGTTTTGAACGCAAGATTCTATCTCACATGTACACATGGAGTGCATACCATGATAACTTGAGTGTATTTCTTTGTTTAAGAGTGAACCTTGGTGAGTTTTGCATTGAAGCTGAATTTGGCTAGCTATTCGAGTGTGAATTCTGTTGTAGAAATGCTCAAATTACTTGTTTAATTCACACACACGAGTTGAAAATGAATTTGTAGGTGCATACTTTGGACTAGTATTTGAGACTATGGTCTTACTTATGTGTGCATAGTTAAATCATCTAAGAAATGTGTTAATTAGTTCCATACCTGCAAAATAGGGGAATATTGCTCAAGTTTTTGATATTTCAGATGAATTAGGAATGTCCATGTGTTTTAATTATGTGATTTGCATTTTCAGTATTCATTTTGGTAGTGTAAAGTAGAAATTCATGCCTTGTACGTTGAAAACATCAAAATCTTAAATCATGTTACAATTTCGAAAATGACTTTGGCCATGATTTGCCAATTGTGGTTCATAAGTGTGCTTCAAGTCCTTGGTAGGATAGGCGTCTTAGAAAGGGTGTAAGATGTGTTGGAACTGAGTTAGGATGGATTGGATGTGAATTTTTGAATAAAGGATTGGTTTTGCAGCAAAGGCAAAACCTTCCGGAAGGTTTTACCTACTGAATTTTTTTTAAACAAAGGCAGTAAAGAAAACCTTCCGGATGGTTTTACCTATTGGATTTTTTAAACAAAGGCAGTAAGCAAAACCTTCCAGAAGGTTTTGATCGACCTTCCAGAAGGTTTTGCTCATAAAATTAAAAATGAGGGTTTTAAAGTTGAAAAGTTTGGAAAACCTTTCACATTTCCAATTCATCTCTTGCTCTCAAACCCTCGCCTCTCCTTCTACTCTCTTCTAACCTTCAAATTGCTTCCCCCAAATCTCAAAATTATTACTTTCTCTTGATTTAGGTTTACTTTTAGGGTGTTTTATCCGAAAAAAACCAAGTGTTTTTCAAGCAAACACTAGAATTCCATTTCCCCTAAAATTCTGAACTTCTCTTTAATCTTCTCCAATCTCCTCAACTTCTTGGTGATGGCTCGTACAAGAGTGATGTCTATGGAGGTAGTTGATGCCGTTGAGAGTGTATGGAGGTTGTTTTTGGTGGCTCTTGGGTTGGGGGCACTGTTGATGCTCATGGCCCCAACCAAGAGCACTAGCCCCGGTGCTTCTCCACTCCTTCTCGCTCCACATCCAAGAAGAGGACCAGTGAGCATCCTAGCTCCCAAGATAAGGCAGAGTGGAGGACAAAGGCAAGACACGACGCCTACAAGCAACGTATCGAGGAAAAGGGCGTAACGCGTGAACACTATGTGGATAGAGTTTCGTTGGGGCCTAAAACGAGGTGGTGAAAATTATTGAACAATGGGGGTTGAATTTGTGGTTTGAGGAGGTCAAGGGGTAAAATTTAGGGATGAGTCATGAGTTTTACCAGAAGTTGGTTATTTTTGGTGACAACGGGAGTAAGCTAAAGATGGTTGTGAGAGGCAAAGCAATTGAGGTGACCCTAGACTCAATAGCCATAACGATGGGGTACGTGAGACCTTCCTTGACCACTGAGGTCTACCCACACAATGTGGAAAAGGGTAGGACTCTCAAGGACTATGTGGCCCTCACCTATGAGGACCCGACCATGTTCACTGGAACAACATTGGTCGGGGGCCTCAAGCGTGCATACGGGGTCATGAATAAAGTCCTCCATTATAATATAATGCCAGGAGGTTCGGAGAAGAACCCAAACATTGAGAAGCTCGCATTACTACATGCCTTTATGACAAGAGTTGCTATTGACATGGCATATTACATTTGGTTGGAGATGAGAGAGTTTGCCCAAGCTGCAAAGCCAAGGGCAAATCTCCCTTTTGACAGCTTAGTCACCCGTCTCTGTGCTCAGGCTAAGGTAAAACACTATGCCCAAGATGTTCTCCTCCCCCCGGAAACTGGAGCAATTGGGAAGTCCAGCAGCAACAAGGGAGTTGCTAGGACTGGGAGAGAGAAAGGTAGGACCTCGAGGCCACAGCCATCAGATGCTGGCGCATCTTCTTCAGCACCCCACCCCCTGCACCTACTCCGGCTCTCACCCTGTCGTAGCGCATGGATTCTATAGAGTTAACTATGTGCAAGATGTCTAAGATGTTGATACAACTATTCCAACATACCTTCCTGGGAAGGCCTATTCCTGGAGGACCACCACCACAGCCTTCAGCTGGTCCCTCCGCTTCCGTTCCTGTGCATTCTAAAACTGTGGAGGTGGGAAATGTTGATGATGATGAAGAAGAGTTAGAGTTCGAGTCTGAGACTGAGGACGAGGATGTTTTTGACAAGGATGATGATGATTAGGGGGATTTTTTTGGTTTTTATTTTGAGCTTTTGGTTGTACACAGCTAGGGGCCTCCAGTATTGGCCAGTAGAAGTGTCATTAGGTTTTGGCCGTTTTGTTTTGGGACTTGAACACATTGTAAAGAAATTTTTGAAGTGATCAATGGAAAAATACCACAGTTGTTACATTTACATCCGTGCCCAAGCTATTTCCTTAATTGTAATGTGATTTGTCGATCTTGAATTGTTTGTGATTTTTACTTGTATGGATGAATGAGTTTTGTTTTAATTTTATAGCTATGCTTGGAAGTAATGTTTGCTGGGGACTAGCAAAACTCAAGTTGGGGGGTGTGATTAGCACAAAAACACGACATATATTGTGTACTAATATGCCTTTTATACTTGTTTATAGTCATAAATTTGGGGAGAAATGTGCTTAACTTTCGTTTTGATGGAGTTTTGTGTGAATGCAGGTAAAACAATGTAAATGGTATGAGTTTATACCCCCATTGAAGTGGTTGAAGTCAATGAAGAAGAAGGAGTAGCTTAAAGGAAGATTTGGAGGGAGAAGAAACCAAGAAAATGGAATTTGGTTTAATACTCTTTTAAAGCTTTCACCATTAATGCATCAAAGTTCTTCATTTTCTTAGTTTTCAAATTGGTATTCAATATACTCTCTTATAGCTTTTGTTTTCTTGCATCTAGTTACTCTAGAACTTCATATCTTTGCAATGCATTCTCATTACATTGTCAATTTTATTTTAAGCATGAGTAACTAAATCTTTTAGTTGGCAAAACCAAGGGGAATCTCCACTTGGGTATACCATTTCAACTCATTCTCCTCCCTTCTTTCAGAGTTCAATGGTTCAGTTTGACTGGGTTGAGGGTGGTTAAGTTGGTGAGTCTTTGATACTCCATAGGCCTAGTCATGGTTTATGCTTAGATACTCACCAATCTTATCCCTAACTTCCCACGAATCAATCGTTCATTCATGCTCTATTAGAGGGTTTCGAGTTGAGATGGTATTCCTATTAGAGTGACCTCTTGGATTTGCCAACATTTGTTTCTCATTTTATTAGCATCAAAACAAACTTCACCAAACAACTTCCAACAACCAAAGATTTTATACTTTCTTTTTTCCAAAATCACGTTCCCCTCGGTTTACTTCCTTCCCCGTGAAAATGACCTTGGAATACCACCAAGTAAAACACGACCTGCAAAAGTCTCATTGTGCTTGGGGAGCACTTTTGTACACACACACATTTGTTGTGCATTTACACATCACATTACCATCATTTTATTTTCCCCCATCTCCTTGCCCTTTCTTTTGACATCACCCATAGGAAAGTGACACTCCCCTTCATCCATATACTATACATGCTAAAAGGTGATATTTAGAGGTTATGAAACAACAAGAAATTTTGTCAAGTAGGTACCGAGCCCACTTATCACTCACCAAGGATGGTGTTAGATCCATCACATGCACACACACACACCCACACCCATGTTGATGTCCACGAATGCGATGTTTTTGTGCAAATGCAACGTAATCCTCCATTGCAAGACTATTACCTTGTTCAATATGTAATGAATGACATATGAACAATTTCAACACATACCATGGATAATTACATCCTAAGCACATAATTTTCATAATCCATCAATTGCCAATATATCATAAGCATATATCAACATTTCATACAACAAAATTTCCAAGTATGTCATCACATAATCATACAATTCACACACTAAATATATCATGGCATAATGTAAACACATAACATGCCCACAAATCACATTTTGCCAAGAAATTACATACTTAGCAATTTCTAATCTCCAATTCACACTAGAATTAAATTTATCCAGTTCCTTCAACTTTACAACAATAGGCGAGTGATGTATAATTCTATCTACCTACCCATCTCATATAAACACCTTAGGTTGGAAATAAACCTAATTAGGGAGAAAACTCTTCTTCTTGAAGCGTAAAACGACGTTAAGAAGTTCCAAGAAACCAAAACAAGCTAGAATCTCAACTATATCCAAATCCTGGTTCTTAAACTTCGGTGAAAACTCTCCTTTTTGTTATGGTCGCGTAGCCCATGACGAGGAGGTCGATTTTGTTTTTGGCTCGTGTTGATTTGAGCGACGGGGAGGCGTAATCGTAGAGAGAAGTTATATTTTCTCTTTTTCCCTCTCTTCCTCTCCAATGTGAAGACCCAGCAGATTTGTGGAAAAGAAATCTGATTTCTTTACCTTTTTATACTCCCCAAATACTAGGTCATCATCGCGCCACACAAGCCTCCACTTTCAGTTTCAGTTTTGACCCAAAACGATTAAATTTCATCCCGATTCAAGTTTAAAATATTTTTATTTTAACTTGCTTTAAATTATTTTTCAAATTTTAAAATTTTATTAAAAATTTCATTTTTGAGTAATCTAAGACCCGATTGCCACGTAAAATATAAAAAATCTGACTATTTCAGAAATCAACGAAATTTGTCTAGACAACTAGATATCACGAGATGAATCCAACAGTGAGATCCATTTCATAATATAAGTTCCAGAAAAATTCAGGTTTTCACTCTGTACTAAAAATGATAAATTACCATTTTGCCCTTTTTCACCAAAAGTTCAAATTTATCCGAATTTTACAGGATCTCTGTACATTTTAATTGCTATTGATTATGTTTTCAAATAGGTTGAGGTAATTCTGTGTCAAAATAATAATCACCACACTATAGTTAAATTTTTAAAAGAAAATATTTTGTCCCAATTCAGAATTTCTCGAGCTATTATAAGTGATGTGAGTACTTATTTTTATGGTGGGGTGGCCAAATATGTTAAGTTTATAGATTCATGTTAGTCAACGTACATACTTGAGATATTATCATGTTATGAATTGTGGTTTCCAACTAATTCTATCATGCTTTGAATTTTACTGTTTAAGCAATCGTAAACTTGAGATCGTTACAATGTCACAAGTTTTGTTTTCAAAACTATATATGTTATTTTGTTACATTTGAGACCTACCTGTATAAAATTTTAATAAACCTTGTTTGGGTTTGGGAGAGATTTCCTATTGAACTTGTTTTGCTCACTCGTTCCTTTAACATTTTTCAGATTTTGATATTGATGATGATAAGAACATATGTGAGTAGGTAACTTGGGATGTTGACGCAGATCATGAAGTGGGTCCAGAAATTAAGGCTTAGGGTTAGAGGGTTTACTTTTATGTTAGTTTTGGTTTGATGATCAAAGGGGAAAGACTGATTACTTAAATTTGTTTAGCTAGTTATGGAATGGTCTTATTTACTTGAGGTTTTGGATTTAACTTGAAATATGGTTTTATGTTTGGGATTTTAGTTAGTTAAAGCTGAATGATGGTTGCTTTAAATTGGTTTCATTTAGGTATGTTTTCATGGATTGATGAATGATAGTTAGTTCTTGCCTATTTTTGGAAATTAGGGCATGACAAATATGGTTGTATTTTAGCATGCAGCAATTCGACATTGGTTTTTATAAACAAATCAACATGACCTTTTTTTGTCACTTTTTTCATTCAACCTTTGTTCATGAGCTTAATTGCAAAGGAATGATAAATTAACAATATATTCTTGTTATTTATGCAACTATTGCTCTGAAGAAAGAAGATAAATTAGGCTAAAGTGGAACGACGATTTGGTTAAGCCTTCACTTTGCATGGTTTGTAGAATTGGACATATAGTTGAGACAACTCATGTCAAATGCTTATTGTTTATCCTCCTTTGTAAACAAGTGTGTGTATGTATGCAAAATCAATGCGAAAATAAGATGATTCACAGCATATGCAATTTGGTAGTTGATCGGGAGGTTTTGATATTTTGGTATTGCCACTTTTCCCGACATAGTAGTGTAAGACACTTCAACTTATTTCATTTTAATTATCACTTACTTTGCTTCCATGTATGTGTCCATTCAGGTACTGCCATCATATGTTT